GCACACACAAGCAGCCACCACCTCTCCAGTCCCTGGTCCCAGCACTTCCCCCGAAAACCACAGAGAAAGTGGCCGTCACATCCTCCTGAAGGCTCATCCCCAGAAAGCCCAAGCAGGGGATTTCATTCTTCCAGGGCCAAGACTCCAACTTTCAATGCGTGCAAATATGACCTTGCTCTGTGAGGTCAAAGTCTTAGCCTTGTCCATTCCTGAGCCCCAATCCCCAGCCCCGAGGCTCAGGCTGGCTACATCTCTGGCTTCATTCAGTGTACCTAGGTGATAAAAAGCCCAGGTGGCCCTGTCCCACCCCCTCCATGCCTGCCTCAGCCATCTCCTGGTTCTGTCCCCACTTTCCAAGAGCCCGCAAAGCCCGCCTTCTCTAGGACGAGGCACAAGAATGGATTAGCTTTGCACCCCCTCCCCCAACTTCCCATGCTCCAGCAGTTCTTACCTGTGCCCTTCAGGTAGGGGAGGGTACCCCCGGCTGGGCTGCCCCACTGGAGCCTCTTTCCCTAGCACCCGGCTGACAGGCTCGGGAGGGAGGTGCAGAGACGGAGCAGGAAGACGCACCAGACAAGAGGCTGCTGAGAAAGTTGAAGTAGGTGTGTCCCAGCCCAGGAGGAGGAGGAAGAAAAAGGAGGTGGGAGAACTGAGGCGGATCATCCCCTCCTGCCAGCTCTCTGTCTCACGGAGAGGGAGGGAGGGAGCCAACTGGTTTGTGGCCCAGAACTCACGGTGGGGAATCGAGTCATGGAAAATGACGGCTGGAAAGTTGCTGAGAAATCAGGCCCATCTCCACCCCCCTTCTCGGCTTTACAGGGGGATAAACTGAGACCCTAGGCAGGTAGGACTTGCCCCTGGCAACACAGAGGCCAGGAGGGGACTGGGGAAAGGACCCAGGTCGCTTAGCTCTTGGGCCAGTGTTCTGTCCACTCTCCTCCCCCACACTACAGATCTGAGGTGACAATCAGCCATCCCTCCCACCATGGCTGGTTCAAAACCCTGGCGCTGCTACCTCCTAGCTCAGTCACCTTGGGTGAGCCTCGGTTTCCTTTTTGGAAAAGATGGAGATAGTAATAACTCCTAGCACACAAGGTTGTTATGGGGATTAAAGGAGATAAAGGCTGTTGGAAGGCACTTAGCAGAGAAAGTCTAAGGTAATCCTTCTTATTGTTATTAGCGGTGACTCCCTCCATAAGTGACTTAACCTCTCCAGGCTCTGGCTTCCCCATCTGTGAAATGGGGGAACAAGAATTTCTGCTTTGTAAGGTTGTGCTTTGTAAGGTTGTTCAGATTCATAAGATAGATAATGTGTGTAAAGTGCAAAGCACAGCACCTGGCATCTCTCTGGGAAACAAGATGTCTTAGTTTTGATGTATTTCATTTTATGGGGTGCCTTTCTGCTCTGGCTCCCCAAATAGTCCAATGTGTTCCTTGTGTTGAGAACCAGTGTTTTAAGTGAAGGGCAGACGACTTGGACAGGAATTAGTTCATTCTCTCTCTCTCTCTCTCTCTCTCTCACGGTCACATATTTTTTAGTTGTAGGATGCATTCATTTGCTTCTTTCTTGTGAGCACACACAGGTGAGGCCCTACACCTCCCCTTTTCCAGGCACGGGACCAGGCACTGGGGACATAGAGGTAAACGAAATAGCTCCTGCCCCACAGAGCTAAAATCGGCTCTGCATCAATCCTGTCCAATTCCTTCTCTTCCACCAGGTCCTGCAACCCCTCTGCAGATTCCCTGGCAATTCAGTGAGTCTCTGCTTGCACATCTCTGAGTCCCGGAAGTTCATTACCTCTTCCAACAGGTAAGTTCTGACTCTTAGCAGTTCTACCTGATGTCCAGCTGAGCAGCAACCCTTGCACCTTGTTAATAATCAAGAATTCTATCTATCTTTGTTTTTAGCTGTTACTATGAGCTATGTGACCCAAGGAAAATGACTGAAATTTGCAGAGTCTCTTTCCTTATCTGCTAAATGGGCTTACGACTGCTTGGGCCCCTCAGAACAGATCTGCTTCCCCTGCCATGTGACAAAAATTGAGGCCTGGTTCTGTGGTTAGGACTTGGTTTCTAGGAGTTCCGACTGGCCCTTGTGGATACGTCAAACCAGTAAGGTTCATGAGGCTCTTGGCTGTTTCCCAGCTCATGGGAGATAGTCATTCATGGAGCAGCTGCAGCCACTGCGCCCTTGAGAGTCTGTCCCCAGCTTTGGGGATGAGCACAGGTGTCAAGCAGGCCGCTGTGGTGTGTGGCCCACGATGTCCAGAGGCGCTCCCTACGAGAAAAGCTGTCCCTGGCCTTCCTCCCACACGCTGCCTCAGCCCTGGAGGAGAGGCCTAGGGGTTAGCAGAGTGAGGGGAGCCACCCTGATCAACTCCAGTGGGAAGGCTGACCTGGGCAATTATCCACTTGGCTGACTGCCGCCCAAGTCTCCTAGTCTGGGCCGGTTAGGAATTAACCTGAAGGAGGGTGGCTGGCCGGCCCACGGGCCCTTTGACTAGTCATGTGCAGAGTGGCAGGCGGCTGTCTTCCTTTGGGTCCCCATCCGAGCCCAGGCTGGCTTCTGGCCTGTCCAGAGCAGGGACTGTCTGCAGCCTGGGGTGGGAGGAAGCGGGAGATGAGTATCGGGAGGGATGGCAGAACCCCACATTCGTCCCCTCCTCTCCTGTTCCCCTGACCCTTCCCCCTGCTGGCGCCAGGACACAACTGGAAGATCCCCTGGCCTCCAGTCCCCCATTAACCAGGGAAATAGACCCCGTAAGTGTCCCCCAAGCATGCTGGGAAGCTTCTCATTCCTGAGCCCCTGCTCACAGCTTCCCAGTCATCTAAAATTGTACCTATTTGTCTTGGTACAGCCCATACGCCATGTCCCCTCTGAGCTTCCCATGACCATGCCCCGGACCTGAGTGAGAAGTATAATAATAATAAAAATAACAGCTAATCTTTATGTCAGGCACTGAACTCAGAACTCTGCAGGGATTATCCCGTTTCTCTGAACGCCAGCACATTGAATTAGGCACTGTTATCGTTTTCTATTGTTCAGATGAAGAAACTGAAGCTCCGCAAGTTTTCGTTACTGGCCTAAGGTCACTGGTCTAGGCTAAGCTGAGTTTCAAGCCCCATTCTGCCTGAGCCTAACCACGGGGCTGCGCGCTGGGTCCCTCGCTCCGCCCTGCAGGCCTCTGGCTGAACCTCCTGTGTGACCCTCTGCTCTGTGGCCTACTTCTGGATGCTCCTCTTTTCACTAAAAGCCCTGCCCCGGTCTATTTTAAGCTCCTCAGGGATGGATCTCTGTCTAACCCAGTGGTTCTCAGCCAGACTCCACAATGGCAACCCTAGGGGTGTGTGTGTGGGGGGGTGGGGCTGGCTTCTATAAATCCTGATGTCCAGGCCCCACCCCAGATCAATTACATCGCACTCGGGGGGAGGAGGGGCTGCATCAGTGTTACCACACAGGCACATTGTAGGCACTAGAAAGTATTTGACTCTGTTTCTCTAGCTCGATGAAGCAGGTATTGAACTCTGATCTTTAACCTCCAGCTCTGATGTTCTGAGGTTCTGACATTTTTCACAAGGATGCTAAGCTTCTAAAGAAAGACCTAGCAGGCAGGCTCTGTTCACTCGCCCAGCCCGCCTGAGCAAAGCTGTGTTCTCCTCTGGGGACTGGCTGCTTCTCCCTGCCTCCGAGGTTTCCCTGCGTTCACCATGGAGTAGAAAGTATAAAGGACGAGCCTGAGCAGTGATGAACACTCTAACCAGGTGGCCAGTTTCAGGGTGCCCATGGAGCCTAGATAGTATTATTTTCATTTTTAACAGACTGAACCCCTTTGATCCCTTCTGGGGCAGGCTAAAGGCTCAGGTTTATTCGGTGAAAATCACAGACACAAACCCTCAGAGACAGCCACGTGTGCAGGGTTGGCCTAGGACAGAGGGGGTGCCCAGGATGTGGAACTTTCAGTGCTATGACCGGAGTGGTCCCAGGGCACGGGGAACAGCTGGTCACCTTAGTGGAGTTGGCTGCTGGCTCACTGCACTACCCACACGTGCTGCAGACCCAGAAGAGATGCCCAGTGAGTGTGGTCCACCATGGAAGACCAGTCTCGAGAGAAGATTCATAGAATCATAGAGAGAAACTCATAGGAACAGTTGGCTGATGGACTGGTTACACTGAGACAATGTGCTCAATGAACACAAAATGCAAACTGGCATTTCCAGGGCCAGGGTCCCTCTGTCGTACTGCGTCGGCCCCGGGGAGGGTCACACAACAGGATGGCAGGGAGGCTGGGAGACAGGTACAGAGCGGAGCCCCCCTGGGGTCTGGCCTATGAACCTGTGGACCTGTGGACAGGGAAGGCTTCAGAGGCCCTGCTGTCAAAGGGATGTGATGCCTTTAAGAAGGATGAAGTCATCGGGGGCTGAGGCCACCTGGCTCCGTGAGGGCTGCAGCCTGCAGCCGAGAGGGAGAAACAGAAGGTGGAAAGCAGGTGGGTCGTGTGGGCTGAGCCTGGGATGTCAGCTCTGTGGCTGACAGACGGGACCCAGCAGGAGTGGGAACAGCCAGCCTTGGTGTTGCCTGGGGTGCCTGGGAATGTAATCAAACACTCAGCAGACCCGCTGGCCATGGGCATCTGGGCACCACCGGGCTCTCCAGCTCATCCTGACCCCCAGCTGGCAGCTCTGACAGGCTCCTGCCAGGAGAAGCGTCCGGCCTTGTTGGCCAGGCCGGTGAGCATGAGCTCATCTGCCGCCAATCCAGCCTGAAGTCGGCCTGCCCCAGGCTGGTGCTGGTGGGTGGGGCTCTGGTGCTGAGAGCTGCAGGAGCCAGGCTGGCCGGCTCAATAGCCTTGACTAGGTCACCCCAACCAGAAGCCTGGGAGATGGGAAGCCATTCTGAGGAGTTGAAACAAACCATCTGATGTTACCCCACCTTTAACTGCCCCTAGACTTGGGGCTCTGATGTAGCCCTTGCCCTGGGAACCAGTGCCCCTCCCATGTCCCCTTCTCCACAGCCACAAACTACATTTCTAGCATCATCTCCCATTTCTCCCTACTGTATAGTAACAACAATGATGACAATTGTAGTAATAATAACTAATATTTGTTATAATTTAAGAACTAGACAAGCATCATTTCATTTTAATCTGCAAATAGATGCCCTGATGAGGTACTGTTATCATCACTCTCATTTTGCTGAGGAATGAACTGAGAGTCAGAGAGGTTGAAGTGATCTGTCCGAGGTCATCCTACCCTTAAACGGTAGAGCCAGGATGTGGACTAAGTTTATGCAGCTCCAAAACCTGTGCTTTTAGCCCCTGCCCTAATGTTACGCTCCAATCAAATCATAGGATTTGGATCCATGGGCATGCCAGGTACAACCAGAAAGGCCTAGCACTTGGTTCAATGCTCTGCTGTCTCTGTCTTGCAAATCTCAATAACTTTTTTTTTTTAAAGATTTTATTGGGGAATTGGGGGTGGGGAACAGCGCTGGGGAATCGGGAAAGGGGAACAGACAAGTTGCTGTCCTTTTGTTCTTCAGTCTAGTTGTGGAGGACGGTGCTTCACTGGCCCATGTTGGTATTATCATTGCACTCTTCCTGGGTGAGGCAGATCGA